CACAACACCAGGATTTGTACCCTTAATTCTCAGAGTTGTCCCAACTCCCCTGCATAAGTGACATTTGTGTCACAGCAAAGCCCTACTGTAGCTCCATGCACATTCCTGCTCTTGAGTAATCCAGTCTTTCTTTCCACTGGAAAAATATTTCCGAGGCAAATTTCAATGTTTATTTAAAGAGTTAAGTCTTCATGTGCCCCTAGTATAGGATAAGGGACAGGGAAACCTGACCAGGCAGGTACCAATTTATCCCAAGCCCTGTCCTTTCTGTGCTACCCCAGGGGAGACCTGCTCAAGGCACAGCGTCGTGGAGATCTGTGCTGAGAACATTTCCTTCCTACTCCCACGAAGAAGAGCCTTTAGGGTTTTAGGGATCATGGCAGTGCCCCGACAACCACGAGCCCTCTCGGGCGAGCAGCTGGAGACTTTTATCCCGGAAAAGCCCACAGGAATACCAGCGAAGAAACCCAAAGCAGGAGTTTAGCAGTCACAACTCTACTCTTTGCATGCTGCCCTTCGGTTGCTTCCCCATCTGCAGCCCATCCAGCGATGGCCTCCCGTCCCAGCTGCGGCTGCTCCGGCCACCGCTCGGGTACACGAGGCAGCTTGAGCTGCTGTCCGAGTGCCAGAGGGAACGTCTAATAGGGTATTGTTTGTGTGTGTTCCTGAGATGGAAGTGATTAACATAAAATACGTAAAAGGATCATGTCAGGAATTCTCTCCAGATCGGCACGGTTAGCGAGCCGCTCTGTTTCGCATTACGGGAATTACAGTATGTTCTGTGACTGCTCCGGGTTGGACACAGATTTGGGTCTCTTTCCCCAGTGTTTACAAACACGGATGGGAGCTGAGCGAAAAATGCAGCCAACTGCTCATGTATTTATGGACCTCTGTCCCATCAACACACACACACATAAGGATATTTACGTTGCCTTCATATCACGTCAGATACCGGAATGTCCTTAAATAACCCCTCAGGGCCGAGTGGCTCATCCACATTTCAGATTCAGGCAAACAACCTTCAGAATTCCTGGCAACTCTTCTTGCTCTTGAGTGATAGACTCTTCATCAAGAGCCTGGAAATGTTGTTCCTTTGAGCTTGAAATTAATTCAGCACCTAAAATGTGTGGGAAAGAGCTGCACTGAGCTGGTGGGAGATTCAAACAGCCCCAGGCACTGAAGCCAAGGAAGCTGCTAAAACATAAGGTAACGTTCAGGCTCGGATCTCCAAAGTGTGATCTGTTTGTCAGCACAGTTGCATTGATTCTTGCCTCGTGATCCTCTCTCATGAAGCAGCCAGGAATGTCTCCCTCCCTCTCCATGCAGTGGAAGTGGGTTTAGTGGAGAACCACTAAAATAAAGGAAGGGGGGAAGGGGGAGGGAAAACAAAACAAAACAAAGCCAAACCCCCAAAAAGTTCTATTGTGAAAGTGTCAGAATAACTGTCCAGGGGCTAATTTTACCCAGGGTGTAGCATTATTGACATCGTTGTGAAAAGACCTGATTTGCCCCTGAGTTACAGCAATTTTAAGGTGAGGCTTCTGGGAGAGTTGCAGTGATGTTAAAGTGATGTTGCAGAATGAGATAGCATCAGTGGCCTCCCATCGAGCTTCATCTTTTCCACTGGAGGTTCTACGGAATGGTAACCAAAGTGCACAAAGCACAACCCTTGTTGGGTGGTTTACCTTTGCCCAGCTTGTGCTTGGACAGACAGAGCAGCTCATTGCTTCAAAAGCACCAGCCAGACCCAGTACTTGGTGGATCTGCATATGACTTACTTAGATGACCCTCATACCTACATGCAGGGGAGATTTTTGGAGCAAGCCCCATGCTCCCATTTCCCTCTCCCTTGACCAGACCAGCACATTTCGGAGAGAAAGTGATGTTATTCATCATGAAACCTTGTCTTTCATGTTTCTCTCTGCTTCTATCTCTTCTCTTAATCCAACAAGCTTGCCTTCAGTTTGTCCGACTTTGACTTTCACATGGGACCTTCCCCTTTTCCACTTCTACCACTCTACAAAAATCCAGCTGGCATCTGTCTGCTGCTTAACATTCCAGCCTGGTTCTCTACTCCAAGAACGACTCAGAGATCTCACTCCTCCACTGCTCAACATGACTAAACCAACATGTCTTCATCTTTCTTTCCATGTTTCTCCAATTCTTTCTCTGTTGAATGCTGAGGATATCATAGCCAGTACTGCTTCCACTCCTGTCCATACTGTGCATCATCTTTACCTGATAATCTCTTTGCCCTTTCATCCAAGGCGTGGTCAATTCTTGTAGGCTTCCTGCAGAACATCTCTAACACAGTGGAATTCTACCATTCCCACAGTTAAAGCTGTCATCCACCATCTCACTTTTTTGTCCTGGTTTTTGCAATACCTTCACCTCTGGTCTTCATAAGAAGCTCTCCATAGCTTAAAAAAGTTATTGTCTAATTCTCTTTAAACCTCTCCTTTTGTCCCGTGGCCAGTGTCATCCTACTATTTACCTGTTATCTTCTGTCACCTCTTGACTGAACAAGGTGAGTCCTCTTGTTGTTCATCCCTTCTGCAGTGCCCATCACAACTGGCCCAATGACTGTCATAACACAAGTAGACAACAATAATTCAGTAAAATCTGTAGCGATTTCCGTGACAAGGATGGGAAGAAAAAAATCTGTTCATCTGCAACCAGCTAAGCGAAACACAAGGATGCTGGAAAGGATCCTGATTGCTCCTAAACTCACAGCAAATCCCTCCCCAACTTCCACAGTGATTTCATCCCTCTAAGTCAAAGGGCTCTGAATCTCACTTACTTTCCCTCTTATTATTTATTTTATAATTGACTCTCTGAACTTCTGCCTGAATTGGAGCCAAAGCTAAGAGTGACCTAATTCCAGCAGCACTTCTAGGATGGGAAGGCCTGGACCTTCCCACTGCAGTCTCTACATCGACTTTAGACTGATATCTACACAGTTAAAGAAAGCCTGTGATGTGTCCAGACCAATATCCCCATCCTTAAGAGAGTGGAAGCATAGGACGAGGGTCTTCTTCATTGCTGGTGTCCAGGAGACACAGCATTGCCCACCAGTTCCCACAGCAATGGATAAAATGCCCTCAGATGTGCAAATAAGAGCATTTTTGGAAGTCTTCTTATTCAGCAACAAATCAAATACATCCTGACCTTTTACTTTTGACTAAGCTAAACTCGGGTATGAGTTCACTGCTGGCTTTCTGGTCTGGGAAGGAAATAGGGAAGAAACCTCCATGATGAATTGAAGAAAAGATAGAACTTTTGCTTGTGTGGATTTTAGGCTCACCTGGATTTTGAAATAGCTAAGATAGGAGCTAAATCTTCTTAAATCCATCAATATGGATGGTTCCACCTTGGTAATCTATAATGGTTTCTCTGTTTTGGGAGTATCAGCAACAATGGGAATAAGCAGATAAAGACACAGATTTTAGATGATCTAATCCCAATACTCAATCATTTTGCAGAACTCTGTGTCACTGTCCCTGCAAGACTTACACAAAATAACATGGGCTGTAGAGCTGGAGGCCGTGTACCTGTTTGAAAAGCCAACTGGGCTGAAAAAAAAAAAAAAAAGGACATGCTTGCTTGAAAAATTTTTGTTTTGTAGGAAAGAGTTTTAATGCATATGAAAAAAAAAAACAAAACCACAAGTGAAACCCTGCAGCACACAGTGCATCTTTAGGTGCCATGTTCCTTTTTTACAGTGGAGATGAGCGAGGTTTCTGCTGTGGAAAGCAGGTCTGCAGAGAATTAACAGGCACTAGCTCAAGATATGTTCCCTGTAAACCAGAAGAGAGGAGATACTGTGGTGCTGGTGAAAGGGAAGGGTTCTTGAATGGTCCAGTCAGATTGTGGGAGTCAGTCATGACCATTTACAGCGGCTCTGGACGTAACCCAAAGCCATTTTTTGGCTCCTTTCCGAAGTTAAGCACTTCTGATAAGTCTGAGGAAAGCTGAAGCGAGATTTTATCTAACACTCAGATGCTGTTCAGGACACAAAGGGTCTGATCCTCACCTGCTGGAAATGGGAGTAAGGCCACTGACTCACACAGCTCCCACTTCTGGGAACGCGGCCCGAAATTACTCATTTTAGTCCAGGACTGTTGGCAAAACACGGCATTCACCCCCAAATTGAGAGGGAGCTGCTACCATTCAGCCAGTTTCCAGCACGGAGTACTTTGGCCCCATCACACACTGCTAATCTCTTCAATGATTTATGTGCTCTTTTAAGTTTTAATTCTCCCTCTGTCATGAACCTTCCTCACTAGCAAGTTGACAGTTTAAATTAGTGTTTAGACATGGCTTTCATAATGTCAGCTTTTGTTTTGTCTCAGTCATCTGTTGGAATTCCTTCCATTGTATCTGAAGTGACTCATGACAATAAATGACTTCTTTTCTTCTTTTGTTCTTAATCGGGGAAGAATGGAACGAACCATGCAATATTTGTAAAAGAGCAGTCTTAATTAGTCCTCAGCTGTAGCTAAAGATGCTTGTCTTGTCTCTTTAGCATATTAATGCAGGAAGCCATGCGTTCACGTGGGCAATTGCCGTGTTCCTGAAAAGCCTTGTTACAAGCCAAATTCTCCAGCGTAAAGGTATTCCCCGGCCCCGCTTCTGGCTGAGCTCTGCCAAATGAGGAGCCTGTGCCCCGAGGGGCTTTGTGTGAGGCTGCTCAGGCCTGCGAGGAGAAAAACGGGCACACTTTTGAGTGACTCATCTCAAGGATTGTGTTTCTTTTTTTTTTTTTTGTTTTGTGCCTCTTAAAGGTATAAACTCTCCAAGCTGAAAGCTGGAGCTTCGTCTCTCTCTCGAACCTCACAGCTGCTGCCTGCGCTGTTTCTCTGCTCTCAAGGAGGTGATGTTCGCTGATGATGGGCCTCAAAACCTTCTTTGCAAGGTTTAAGTGGCTCAAATACCCAAGTGCTAATGAAAGGTTTGGGTGGGAATGTGTGATTAATTTGCGCAAAATGAATGGTGACATCTTTTAGGGACAAAACATGTTTTTGTGCAGAAATGCAAAAGGCTGCGTCTTGTATTGCCAGAAAAAAAGTCGCTGTGCCCATGTCATCTTTAATACACTCCAGGAGCTTGTGAATGGCAACAGCTTTCTTCTTCTTCTTCTGTTTTCCGTTTGTCATTTGGGAGAAGAAAATTGATCCTGTAAGAAAGTGTGGGAAAATGGCGTTGCCAGCTCAGCTCCCCGTTCGCTGAGCGCTCTCCTAGTCCATGTAGGGCCATGTCCACGACGCCAAGTTATGTGGTAACTGTAACACACAGCTAAATAAAGGTTTAGGTTGAGAGCTGGTTTCTTACTGATTGTGTTTTGAGGAAGGGCTACATCCTGGGTCTGGGGATGTATTTGTAGCTGTCATTGAATGGCAGGCAGTAAGTCTCCTTTCCCTTAGACCTGGCTTGCACCCTTGTGTTACTGGGAAGGGGTTAGGTTCCCATTTGATGACATATTTCCCATCTATCTGTCTTTCTCTCCACTGTCATGTCTGATTCTGACATAATAAAGCAGCTGTGAAACACCCCTTAGAACCTGCTGAGTTGCTTCCTATTTTAGGTTATTAAAGAAGATGCTGCCACAGGGCAAAGCACAACTGCAGAGGGTCAGAGGGAGGTGTTTAACAGTCTGGAGAGCCAAAAGAGGTCATCAGGGACCAATTTTCTCAAGATCCTCCCTCCTCCAGAAGACAATTGTGTTTTGCGAGTTCTGATCCAAAGAAAGGAAGGAAAAATGAAGCACGGATGAACAAGGCTGCGATGAGAACACTGGTAAAAGCTGGGCTTGAGATGGTGTTTGTGCATAACAACAGCCTCGCTGGACCTAGAAACATATGAATAACACTAAGAATTCTTCTGTGCCAGTACACGGTGCTCTTTATTTTAATGGTCTGTTTAAATATACATACAGCTATTTTTCTCTTGCCCAGACCTTATAACAAAACCAAATGTCTTAATGAACACAGGGAGAAAGCAAGCAGCTGGAGAAAGACATTAAAATGTACAAGCCCAGCAAAGTCCTGGGGAAATCATTGTGACTTTATTCAAAGTAGTTTCAAAAGTAAGCTGTTCCTCTGGAACTGGGCTGAAATAAGTGCTGTACTGCTTTCCCTCTGTGCTCCAAAGCAATCCATGTTCCCTTTCAGGGTTGTGGTCTTGTATAGTCTCCAAAAATATTCATACAATTTATGGTGAGCTCGGCTGGACTGTACTGTCACCAGGTTCATAACGACCACGGTCTCCTCTCCAACTCTGCCCCTCCAACTCTTGCTGAGGATTTGGCAGATCAGTATTAGGGCAGCGAAGGTTCTCTGGGAGAGTTGGTATCATTTACTGGCCTCATTGGTAAAACTGAGGAAAACAGATCATGTCTGGGACACAAGCCTTTCTGCAGGTGCAGTAAAGTTTTAGGCAAGTGCCCAAACCAGCCTTGGAAGTCTGGGTTTTTGCAGGCACAGATATTCTGGAAGTATAATGTCATGCTTCAGAGCAGACTTCGGACAACAACTTTATTTCCAATATACAGAGATTGTCTGCTCTCTGTCCATCTAACATCTCACAGTGAATTTCAAAGGAAATTGTAAAATTGCAATGGCAAGGCCAGGGTGTGAGAGTGCAGGGTGGGTTCTTTCCCTATAAATGAACTGTTACGTATTTATTGACTCCAAAGAAGTATTTTCTACTTTCACAACCTTGCAGATTTCTGTGTGGTGATGTGTGCTTGCTCTTCCCTAATGCAGGAGTTGTCAAAGGACAGAAGTTCACTAATATTGTTTTTTCATACCGCTTCATCAAATGTGTTCTTAGCTTGTCATCGGCTGAGGTCGACTTTTCCTTCCATCTGTGTTTACACTGGACTGAGACGAGCGGGTCCTGACCATGATCAAAGCATCAGGGTGATTGTAGCATAGAGGTGGTTTATGCTTCTGCAGGAAAAGCTGTCCAAAGGGTTTATCAGTTTGGCACAGCGTTAATGTGGCTGGGATTTGGCAGAAAACCTGGCAGATTTGGATACCTTTGAAATGTAGAGGAAGATGGGGATGTGTAAAGACTTCCAACCCCTCCTGGAAAACCAGATAGTTTTGTAAGGGCCTCTTAACCAGCACTTCATTACAGCTTTCCCATTGGCCTCAAACTCAATGTTAACCTTGGCCCTGGCGCAGAGAATATTGACTTTCAGGGTCAATAAATCTTAATATGGATCAAACTGGAAGTCATGTTTGCTTAGTTCGTAACTCCCTTCCAGTGCAATTACTCTTTACACAATGCAAGGACATTCTGCACATTTTTCCTCTTCTTCGCCATTTTGAGGCGCATTACTCTTCCAACCAGAGCCGGGGGTTTCCAAGGCTCGGCTTTTCTCTCCCAAGTTTTCTGTCACGGCCACTTTGATTTTTCGTGTTATTTATCTCCTTCTACAAAAGGCAAGCATAATCTATTTTTTTTTTTTTTTTTTTTTGCAGCTACATCCCAGCTCGGATCCGCGTCAGACGACTGCCTCCTGGCGTAACCGGCCGCGTCGCCACCTCCTGCGTCCAGGAACGGCACGGGGTTGTGCGTGGGATGCCGGAACCACAAGAGGTTTTCAGATTTCCAGGATGCTGAACCGCGCTCCTGAACCACACGACCTGCTCTTGCAGTGATTTTTCCTGCGCTCGGCAGCGACGCGGCGCTTCCTGCTTCGTTCGTATCAGCCAATACCTACAGAATTTTAATGAGCGTACAGTGAGTTGCCTATATAAGTCAGCACATGGCAGAGTGTGTGCTGCTCCTCGTAACGAGGCATATAGAGCGCCTGGGGCTGTGGAGGCAAGAAGCCAAAGGATGTTATTATTGCCCTTATAAATTGTTTTCAAAATAAATAAGATACAGAATGTTTCGCTTTGAAGGGGAAAAATGGAAGATTTGTGCTCTGCACACTGACTGGCAGTGGGGGTGGGAGCAGGAAAGAGGAGAAAGAAGGGTGGGTTGATCTGTAGCCTTTTGATTTGAGTCACTGCTGTTGAGCACATGTGAACTCGGTGTACACGTGTTGCTGGGGTTACAGCCAGGCCCAGATGTGTCCAGGATCACAGAATCCCAGAACGGTTTGGGTTGGAAGGGACATTAAAAAACATCTATTACCAGCCTCCCTGCCATGGGTAGGGACACCTCCCACTATCCCAGGTTGCTCCAAGCCCCATCCAACCTGGCCTCAAACACTCCCAGGGATGGGGCAGCCACAGCTTCTCTGGGCAACCTGTGCCAGGGCCTCACCACCCTCACAGGGAAGAATTTCTTCCTAATATCCAATCTAAACCAAACTGATCTTCCAGTTTAAAGCCATTCCCCCTTGTCCTGCCAAAGGTGTGGAGAAATACTGGGAGCTAGCTGCTGCAGGGAGCAAAGGTAACAGAGGGAGGATCCTGCACATCTGTTACCCCATTATCCCCATGAATCCATCCTGGACCATGCTCTGTAATTGTGGACACATGCACAGGCTCCCAGGAGCTGAGATGAGGAAAGTGGTGCTCTTCATTCAGAAGGATCTGCCCATGCCCTCAGTGTCCTGGGTGACTGGTTGGGCAGTATCTATTTAGGGGCCCTGTACTGGATTCCTGCCTTCCCCTCCCTCACTGCCACAGTGTGAAGGTGACCAGGTGTGTCACCTGTGTGGTGAAGACAGAGAAAATCCTGCATCCCGTTTGCAAAATTCAGGATGAAACAGCATCCCTTGAAAAGCAGAAAGGTCCTTATTCCAGGACTGTTCAGATCAGTAAGAGACATCCAGTCAACCTGGCAGGAGGTGCCTGTAGTGAAAAGAATTCATATCATAGAAGTGCTTTGCTTCAGTTGCAAAGGATTCAGGTTTGACCCTCAGGAGGAGATGAATCCCAACTGCTGAACACATGTAATTCTAAGGAAAAAACAAAATAAATGGAAGGCTGTCCAGCGCATGGGCTGCACTGTGGCTTTCAAGGTTGGCTCTACCAAAGGACAGGCAGACACATCCATGACTTGGCCTCTGTGGAGCAGCTGCTTTGGAGAGCAAAGTTTGTCCCTTGCTTCAGGGCACAAATTCCGGGAATGGCTTCCAGGCAAAAGTTGGAAGAAGGAAACAAATGCTGAGGGATGGTGTGATGCGACGGCAGAGCAAGGTGCTGAGAACATCTTCCCTTCAGCGTGGCCGTGGGACACAGCTGTGCAAAGCAACACCCATGGAAGTGCAATAACCCCGTGGCCATCCTCGGATGGAAGGTGAACCCCGAGTTTGCATGTGATCAGCATTCCAGAAAATGCACCGAAAAAGGGAAGGAAACACCACCAGCCAACTCTGTTTTCTGTCGGCCCCTTCAGAAACAGACGGAAAAGATTAAAATCATTAGCAATTGGAAAAATCTAGTTTATTCTATGGATTAGCACTGCTGGCATGCAAACACATCTTCAGAGAGCAGCTGCTGTCCTAGGGCGCTTTAATCCTTCCAAAAGTAGCATGAGAAGACCCAGTAGGTGCACTGCACTTTCCATTGTGAGCTGCCTGGTATTAATAAACTGGAGCACGTTCCTGGGCAAGGTCTCCTGCAGTGTTAACTTTCTGCTCTCTCTCTTGTAGCTACTGCTGAGTGTGCCAGAGCACCCTCAGAGTTTGGTGTATGAGAGGGCAGTATCCAGATAAAGTTGGCAGCAGAAGATACCAAAAGGAAAAAATAAAACCACGCTGGAAGCAGAGTGAGAAGAACCGAAATAAAAGCAAACCAAAACAACCTGCTCCCAGCCCTTGACACCAGTGCTGGTTCCCTCTCCCCTGCAATTTCTTGGCTGCTCTTGTGACTTTCACCTAAAAAGGGGGAGGAGGAATCACCTCCATCCATATGGCTAAAAGTAGAGTGGATGTCTGTTGGGACTGTGATGGAGTGGTTCAGATCAGCCCAGGAACTTCAGAAGTGCACGTACCTGTGCATGGCTCACCTTGTTGTGACAGCCCTGGCTGTATGACACAGACCTCCCAGTGACTGGGAGACACTGGTGGATGGGGGCAACTCTCCAGCCAGCTCCCAGCTGAGCAAGGAGTAGAGCCGTTGGAATCTTCCTGATTCCAGCTTCTTCCATGGAAGATCAGGTCTGGATGGAGAAGTGGGAGAGAAGAGGATTGATCAAGTTTGTTGCTCCCTCAGCTCAGTACAGAGGCAACCGTGTGAAATTCAACATCCTGTTTCCAACGTGTGGTTGAACTGGATGACACAGGAGTTGCCTCTTAGAGGAAAAATGCGTGTGTGGCACTGGTCTTGGAAAGTGTCTGTAAAATCATGGAATAGTTTAGGTTGGAAATGACATTTAAGATCATCGAGTCCAGCCATTAACCTAACAGTCCCACTAAACCATGTCCCCAAGTGCCACATCTGCTGATCCAGCTCCCGTTGGCAAAGGCTGGTGACAGCGTTGATTCCAGCAGAGGTTGGCACACATCTCAGAGGCTGTGGAGGAGCAGCCAATTATAGTCATGTCATCAGTTCAGGAACCTCCAGGGTGGGAATCAACCTGCTTAACATCTGGTTGGTGCTTCAGAGGTTGGTTTGGCCTGGGAAGGCAGTTAATCCCTGTTCTTTCTGCTCAAAAAACTGTGTGAGCCATTTCACCGTTCAGTGATGGAGTGTTCCATGAGCACATAGTTCCACAGATGAAGTTTCAGCAGCCCTGACCAACTGGTCAGTGTTCTCCTTGTCCAAGAAGTGTTTTGCATTTGTTGCTGGGATTTATTAGTTGTTTAGGGGTTTTTTTAAGCAGCTATGACTGTTGCCAGTGGGCTCAGAGACATCCCAGCTCATCACCTAGAGCCTGCCACCAGGAAGATGGTCTAACCTGTCCAGGAATGATCTGGATTTTGGAAGTTGATTCCTGCCCTTGATGCAGAGACAGGACACCCTGTCACTCAACAAGGAGCTAAATTGATGCTACTGGGAGGCTGAGGGCTTTAAAAGGTAAGAAGCTAAGGAGGAAAATACGGGAATCAGGGATATGATGATCAGAAACCAGGACAGGAGGGAAGATGGGGGGACCCTGCAGGGTTCAAGCTCCCTTTTTTTTTTCTTCCCAGTTTGGTTTGTGGTTTTGCATTTGCAGCTTGTAAAACTGTATGGAAGGAATGTGCAGCTGGGGGCTTTCGCCAAGTTGGTGTCAATTTGGGTTAAACCAGAGGTCCTGGAACAGAGCCTCCTTGGGAGAGTGGGTGACTTTCATTAGGACCAGAGCTTTCATTATTCTCCCTTCAATTGTGGTCGCTCCTCGGGGACCCCATTCCAGGAGCAGGGCCCAAACTCTCTTACACCAGGCACACTGGAAACCAACAACCCGAAGGCAGGCCCTCCCCCTGAGGGCTGGCAGCCCTCAAGATGCTCAGTGTCCTGCCATTGTCCTCCTCTGGCCTCCAGCAACGCTGTCCTGTCCTGTCAGCAGCAGCCCACGTGCTTCTCAGCTGGACCCCACCAGCGCTTGGGATTTGCTCCATCCAGGATGTTGACCACATGTTTTGTGAGGTGCCCAGCATGTCTTAGGAATGGTACAATGAAGACACTTTCTTTCCCCGGTCCCTGGGGATGTTGGTTCTGGATCATCTCTGCTCTGCGCTTACTGCAATCCCCGCGTGCAGTCAGTCTGACACGGGGTCCCTGCCAGCATCCAGCACCAGCCAGTACTCCTCTGCACTCCAGTTTGCATCCTTGGATACCCTATTTTGTCTCCATGCACAGATAAAGAGGCAATCTCCTCACTTTCCCTCATTTTCAGGGTTAAACTGCTGATAAGGGCAGTTGGTTCCATGCAGGGGGATGACTTGGAGTTGTCCTGTGCAGAGCCAGAGCTTGTACTCTATGATCTTGTGGGTCCCTTCCAGCTCAGGACATGCTATGATTCTTTGATTTTGTGACTTTTAGTTAGGGATTTCTCTTGTTCTGTCTGTTTCTCTGTCCTCACATGTCAAAAAAATGAGTATATATCAGTATACAGCCACTCTTCCTCAGGCCATGCAGAGCAGGTCATCTCCAGGATGGTGGTTTTTTGGCCGGTATCTCCTGGCTCTATAGTCTGTATGCCAAAGGGATTCCAAAATCCTAAACATGGCTTGAATGTGCCTTCTGCCCACAGTGCCAGGTACACCCTGAGCTCAGCTGGAATCACCTCCCTTCACCAAAGGCCCCAAGGCAGGAATCAAGTCTAAGGTAATGATGCATCCTTTAGAGCTAGAGGGGAGAGATTTGCAACTCTGAAATTGTCACCTCTGAAATCCAACTCATTCCGGTATTAAATGCATGTTGAGGTTGGATGAGTTGTTCTCAGACTGTTCCTCTTCTCCCAGAAGATGCCAGCATGGCTTGCAAAGCCCACACTTGCCCTTGAGTCTGGGTGATGTGAGCTGGGCTTGTGCTGTCTCTGTGCTTCATGTAGGTTTGGCCTCCTGTGTAATCAATGAGTTTCACTCCTTTTTGGGGCAGGACAGCTCTGCCTTATTGCCCTTGTCCAAGTTTTGCCTACAGAGCTTGGCTGGACCTTTCTGGTGGGAGGGGATCCTTTCCCCAAAACCTTGCAGGTGTTTCCTCAGGAGCCAAAGCTGCTCTGACAGCTTGGCCCTCCTCACTTGCTCCTCAAAGATAACTCAATTTTACAAACCACACAAGTCTTCATATGCCCTTATTTAGATTCCTGATTTAAACAAAGCAGTCTGATTGCTATTACTGCAGGGAAACCATTTAGTCTTGTGGTTTATTTACAGAAGGCAACATGCAACCAGCAAGTCTAATAGCTGACCATTGTTCCCCTATCAGTCCTTGGGCTGGCAACACTGAGCAAAGCAAACACATCATAAGAAACCACCTTTAATTATTCATATGCTCTCTAGGGGAAGCGAAGATCTCTGATGAAGAGGA